CACGTTAGGTTCTGCCTTGGGGAGTCCAGGTGAACTCCTTCCTGGCATGGGGTCCGCACAGAATATCCTTCTTCCCCCAATCATGAAATGCAGCAACAGTGCACAGGGGCCATGCCGGGGAAGCCCAATGGGCTGTGGAACCCGGCCTCAGGATCGTGGGCTGTTGGTATAGGCACTCTGCCTGCATGCCAGGCCACGGTTACTGAAACTCCAGAAACCTAGAAGGAAAGCAGGTGTTCACTGTAAATCACATTGTTTGTCCAAACAGTCTAGGCAAGCTGCACAGCAGGGTTTAGTGCCCCAGGCAGACAAAACAGCCTTTATCAGTTAGAAATGTAGGTGATATTCCAAATGCCATATCGTGATGCCAGCCAAGGGTCAGCCTTGAGAGCAGGCCCGTCTACAAAAACAAACTCCTGTACATGTCTAGCCAAACCTTTACATCACTTCAAAATTGGGCTCTTAAGTCTTCTTTTTGAATTGTTAAGATTTATTTACTATATCCAGGACACAAGTTATTTATAAAATAAACATTTTGCAAAGGTTTTATCCAAGTGTGTGGTTTGTTTTCTATTTTCTTAATGGTATCCCTTGAAAGGAGTTTGGGGAGGGAGGTAACATGGGCAGGTATGCACGTACACACACACACACACACACACACACACCACTTTTGCTCCTATGTGGAGAATGCCGGATGAAGAGTGGATTGGGGGCTCAGGATTGGAAGTTGACAGGAAGGATGCGAAGAGGCTGAATGTGAGGGATGAGGTGAAGTAAGGCTGATACCGCAAGCAAGCACACAGCACAGATCCCTCCGGGGGCAGGGGAGACGGGGCTCCTCAACCTTGGCTGCAGAATACAGTGTTATTATTATTTTTATTTTAAGACGTTTATATTTATTTATGTGTACAGAACTGGAGTACAGGCCAGACGTGCAGGGGGTGAGAGGATTCACCTGAGACAGAGCAGGGAGCAGAACAGACCGATCGACGAAGTGCACTGCTGAGGGGAGCAGCGGGAGAGACAGGAGAGGTCTGCCACACCATGTGGGACACCTCCAGGGCAGGGATCGAACTGGCACTGAAGTGCCCGCAGCTGGCTTGCAGTGCTGCGGTTTAACCCGCTGCACCACCAGGGAGGGCCAGTATTGTTTTTAACCATGAAGCTCCCACTAAATTGTGGGATTTTGTGTTCTGATCATTTGGGAAAGGTAGGGCCAGATGAGCTTTAGGGCTCTACTATTTTCCACCTATGATGGCAGGAACAAGCTTTGGCGCTTACTTTAACTATTTTGACATATTCTGAGCTGTACACCTTGGTGTATTATTCCAGATAGCTTATTAGTCATATATATGTGTATTATAAAACTGAGATTTGATCCAGTAATACTTTCAAGATGGGAAAGGAATAGTCTATGCATGGAGATCTTGCAAAAAGTGAAGGCAGGAACACTTTTAGCATAGAAAGTGTGAGGACAAGGATAAGGAAATTCATATTCATGTATTAACCCAATTACTGAACGTACCTTGCCAATCTGAAGCACTATGGGCTTAAAATGGGATTTTATATCATTCTCTCCCAAGTGACACAGACAGTATTATAAATGAAAAATTCTTTCCTCAGGCTGGGCTACAGAGCTCCTCTCACTTGGGTAGCATATACTATCACAGGAAAAGCTTTATTTAAGGTTGGAAATTCTGTTTACCCAGGAGCCCAAACCACTGTTTTTCTGTTCTTGCAAAATAAACAAAACACCCTGGCAAACTAGATGCAAAGAAGGCCTGAGGGAATGGAAAGGAATGTGAAATCAGGTATGCGGGTCAGTGTCAGCACAATAAATCAGGAGCACAACGGCGAGACATATTTTCCCTTCTGATACTAAAGAAAGGGAGGCTACATGAATCAGCGAGACAAAGGGAGAGGACAGAAACTGAGATATATACGTGTATGTATTCCTAAAACCTACTTTATTAGCTACACATATATACACATGTACACACATACATTTACACATACTTACATGTAATTACAGGGTAGGTTTGTGGTGGTGTATTTCAGAAGGAGACAATCTAAAGGCTGAGAAATGGGTGTTTTGCCTGGTGGGAGCCACAGCCAGGAATCAGCGATGACAGCATCTCTCAGCCAGGTGGACCTGGTGCCCTGAGTTATAGAAAGGCTGGACAGAGAGATGGAAGCATGAAAGAATAGCTGGTGTCTGTAATAATAAATCCCTTTTTAAAAAGGTGATGATTGAGTTGATCATGTTCCTCATCTTGCCCCATCATGCCCCAGGGCCTTTGCACATGCTGTTCATTCTACCTGAAAGCCAGTGGTCTCCACCCATTTTCAACTTTAGTAAATTTATCTTCAGATCTCAAATCTATGCTTCCTTCTCTGCTATCCATGCCCTGTTATCATGCTCTGTTATCAGGGTTGCCTAATGTTTTATGGAGTCTAAACTCTGTAGAACTTTAAAGGCCCCCTTACAAAGAAAGACTAAAATATCTGGAGTTAAATACCCATCGAAGACGCCCACTCCAGGGTTCTCCCTGGTGGTGCAGCAGGTTAAAGCACTGCACTAAGAAGCTAAAGCCACTTCTGCATGAGTTTGATTCCCACCTGCCCCAGAGGTGATCCACATGGCATAGCAGACCTCTCCTGAGCCGCCCACTGCTCCCCTCTCCAGTGTACTTCATTGATCTGCCTACTCTGCTCCCCACTCTGTCTCTGGTGAATACTCTCACTGCCCCTGTATCTCTGGCCTGTGCCCCAGTTCTGTATGCATAAATAAGTAAATCTTAAAAAAAAAAAGAAGCTCCTTCCAGGGTGTTGGAAACGACTTGGGTGTATGACAGACAAGAGCCTCAGCGTCATGAGTTTCGTGGTGATGCTATAGCAAGACTATTGGATCATGAAGCGTAATTGTCATCAGAGCCCCATCAAAGTTTGTAATCATGTTTAGTTATGTGGGTATTTGTTTCCCATAGATCTTCCTGCTGCACCATAAGCTTCTTGGAGAGAGATTGTCTATTTTGCTCATCATTGTGTTCCTGTATGTAGTTTAGGCACTTACGTGATTTGCATAAATGAATCCTAAACTGTGAATCACATATAATCATAATCATAAGTCTACTAGCTTCCACTCATTGAGAGTCTCCATAGCTCAGGTCCTGGATGTTAGGACTGGGGGTTCAAGGTCTGTTGGAATCCTCAGCCTGTTAAAACATGGAGACAATATGATGTGGGTGCTTGGAAGTACAGACTAAATTTGAGTCGCTCCTGAGTCAAGGATGTAGTTTTTGAGTCCTACAATGCTATAACAGCACTGTGCTCCCCTACACAGACATGAGTTCCTAAGGGATAAGGATGCCCCTCCCAACTCCCCCAAATCAATCCTTTATAAGAGGAGACTATGAAACCTGCTCTTTCCTGGTCTCCCCTCTTGGCAAAGAGACCCCTACTCAGAGACATACCCCACAGTTGTGCTCTTAAGCCAGTGGGTCCCAGCCAGGGTTATTATTTTGTGCTCTGGCAGGCACCTGGCAATGTCTGGAGTATATTTGTTATTACAGTTGGAGAAGGAAGAAATAATGCATTGATCTGATGGATAAAGAACAGGGTTGCTGCTAAGCATCCTGCAAAACACAGAATAGTTCCTTACAGCAAAATTTTTTGAACCAGAATGTCAATAATGCCCCAGTTGAGAAACCCTGCCTGAAGGCCAAAGGCCCTCCCTATCATTTTATCTGGACACTACCACTGTCTGTAGTCTATTTGTCCCCCTCTGCCTTCTATACGCTTGCACAGAACAGTGAGGCAGTGTTGCCCAGAAGATAAGGAAGATCTTCTCCAGAGTTAATGTGATGAAATTTGAATAATAATTTTGCTTATTAAAAATAAAACTAAGACTGCTTAGGGCTGAATATTGAATGGCTGGGAAATCTTATTACAATATGGATTCTGAGTCCAATAGAGGCTCTGCAGCGGAGTACATTTCTCACCAGCTTCCAGGGGCTTGTAGAGACTGTGGCCAGGGGTCACAGTGGGGTAGCAAGAGTCTAGGCACTTAGAATATAGCAGTGAACAAAACAAAGACCCTGATCCTTGGGGATCTTCCAGTCTGACTAGGAGTGGATTGGCACAAAGAAGGGTGGACAGGCTGAAGTCAGAGGTCCTCAGAGTCTTAGAAAATCAGAACTGGAAGTAACTTTAGACATGTGATCAAATCTCCCATTTTAGATATCAGGAAACTGAGAGGAAGGGAGCTAATTAAGTCACCTTGCTTGCTGCAGCAGCTTTTTGATAAGTCTGTTGGATGCCTGGATTACTGGAGTCCTTTGGAAACTCTGGAGGGCAGAGTTTATTGGGGTTTAGAGATTTCAAGGGCAGAAGTCTGAGGACCTCCCACAAGAGGACCCTACTACTCTGGACCCATGAAACCCTAGGTTCCTAGTTCTTTCATTTCTGTGATAACATACTGGCAACACAGGGACATATTTGGGGGAGCTGTTAGATTTCCTTACAGACAGACCATTTGTGCGTCTGCACTAAATATGTAGCAAGGATAAACCAGAGCAAAACTATGGAGAAGTCACCTCTGACTGCATCAGCCATTTAGTCAGCAAGTACAGAGAGCAAATGCCAACAGAATTAGGGTAATCAAAACCACATCTTAATCGGGAGTGAAATAACAAATCCTGAACACACAGAGGCTCCTGTCCTCATTTTTCAGGGTTCATCCGAACACAGACATCACCCAGTGCTGCAGATTAAAGAAACGTCTGCATGGTGTCAAAAAGCAATTGCTTCTTTCAAGGCCAGTACCGGAAACATAAACTTTTAAATTCATGCCAGTCCGATAGGAACAGTAGCAAATTTCAGGAGTGGAAAGCACAACAACAGCTGCTACATCAGGCATTAATAATATAACAAAGGAAGACAAAAGAGAAACTTTTCATTAGTACTTTTTTGAGGTAAATTTATTATTTATCCCTTTGCCAATATTCAAACAGGCAGGCAGTAATAAAATATTCAAAAAGATCCTTTAACATAGTCAAGGCATCTGCTCTACCTCAATTTCTTTTTACAAGACTAGAAACCAGGATTCCTGTACAAAAGCTGGTTAAAAAAATATCTGCAGTATCAAAAATATTGTTTGAACATCGTGCCTCAGAGTTCAGTTTTGATTTTATTCTCTGCCAGCAGGCAGTAGACAATGGTCCATGAGGGACGACTGATTGTAAATCAGCAAAGTGCTACCTCCAAAATTTTGACTCCTCAATTAGGATTGTTTTGTTTGAAACAAGGCGTTGACAAAGCCCACTGTTCTGTAATTAGCACCCTGTCAGGTCTCTCCAATCAAGACCAGCACTCTGCAGCTGGTCCTAGTTAAAAAGTGCATTGTGGGCAGTTCTGGCCTGACCCTGGGGGGCACCTGCTATACTCACAACCGCCTTCTCTGCACTCACCATTACCATTTACACGATAATAAGGTTTCCCTGTCCAGAGGTTCTGAGAGCTTTTGCCTAACCTCAATGACCTGCCACCGGTCTTAACCCATTTGATGAATGTCCATCCGTGGCGACGTAGACACTGCCACCTCCTGAAAGAAGGCGTATTCCTGAGACAGAGCGCTCCTCTGAAGAAAGAGGGGTTGAAAGTGAGTGATCATTGCCTAAAAGGAAACAAATCACGGAAAAGCAAGAAATGCAGGAAAACAAAGGTCTTTGCAGCCCCCTTCCCAGGGGACCCCGGGGGAACGGCTGACCCTTCCGGCTCCCTCTCTGTCATTCCTCTGCGCACCCCGGCTTTTCAGGAACCGTCCCTGGTGTAGAGGTTGTGGTCCCGGATGTAGGCGATGACTGCGTCAGGGATCAGGTATTTCACACTGTGCCCGTGGCCCAGGGCCTCCCGGATGTAGGTGGCGCTGATGTCATTCTGCACCGGCTCCCTGGCCAGGTGAATGTTGTGCTGGAATCTCCTCAAGATGGGTGAGCCCGAGATGTAGCCCTTGGGATCGTGACCTGCCCGGCCCACGCACACGATGCCGAACTTCTCCACGATTTCCTGGATGTGCGCTTCTTTCCAGAGGCCAGGGGTCTGGAAGGTCTTCAGGACATCAGCCCCGCAGAGGAACTTCAGCTCGGGCACGGCTGGAAAAGCAAAGGTAGGACAGAGAAGTCACCACCAGGAAAGGCAATGTATTCCACTGGAACATTCCTCCAAATGCTTTTCTTACAATGTACTGGGGACTCAATGTCTCCACGTTCATGATTTAAAAAGAAAAAGCGTGTAAATGAGTCTGAAGCGACTTTAAGTAATCCAATCAGTATAGCTTTTGTTTAATCTAGACAAAGCACCGAGTAACATGAAACAGTTTTTCTTTGCCTGGACTATGCACCAAGCACCCTGGGTGGGTGCTGGGGCCACAGCCCTGCTGTCCAAAGGTGACGACGCCTCACCCACTTCAGCTTCGGAACGTCCTCAGATTGAAGAGCTTTAGGCCCCCATCAAGTCACTGTCCTTCTTGAAATCAACTTTAGAAATCGATTTCCCTAGCACCTGGTATAGTTATAAGTAAAATCTCATCATAAAGATAAATTATAAAGGATCCTTGTATAACCAAAAGTCTCCCAGACTCCAGCTGGTGACCTTTTCATCCATTTTCAATAAAACAGAGCTCTAGAAAAACTGATCAATGTGGATAATCCTTTGGCATTCACTCTAACACATGATGATTGGGATGATTAAAGAATATCTAACATTTATTGGGAGCTTACCGGAAGCACCGTAGTAACTAAGTGCTGCCTGTCTACAAATCTCATCTGATCCTCACAACAACTTCATGAGGCAGTTGTTACTACGGTGACTTCTTTGTGGAAGGGGAAACTGAGGCACCGAGCGGTGAGTGACTTTGCTGAGGTCACACCTAGACAGAGGGGTCACATCTGATTCACAACTGCCCACCAGCCTCCAGGGGGCACTTGTAACTGCTAGGCTCTGGCGCCGCCTGCTGGCAGGAGCGCGCATCGCCACGGAGAAGCCCTTTGTTCATGTCCTGGCACAGCTCAGGCTTCCAAATTGAGCTCATCTGCGAAGGGAAAGCCGAGTCCATGCTAGGGGCCACGGGAGAGTTTGCTGGTACCTCTGAAAGCTGATTCTAGCTTTGGAAAATGGCAAAAGCTGGGCCCCTAGAGTGCTGGCGTCTCTCAGCTACCCAGAAACTCAGGAGCAGTTTAGGGCTATCACCTGCTGGGATAAAAACTGACCTAAATGGTCAATTTAGGCTCCTCTGTCGTAGAACCTTCGAAGGAATCTTGAAGGAGACTAGAGATGACCTTAAAAAGGAGCACTAGACAGCTGTGAGTGTTTTGAGAAATCATGGAAAGGTCTGAGTTCTGGCATTAGTAGGGCACAGACTGCTGTGGGAGCCAAGATCCCTTCTCTAAGACTCAGTTTCCCTATCCATGAAATGGTAGTTACTGGACTTCTTTACTCGTTTAAAGCAACAGATGTGTTATGCAAATACACCTTTCAAAAACTCTAGCACCATAATGCTGGTAGTAAAATTTTACTCCGACACTTATCAATGCAGGTATTTATGAATTCTCAGGGTTAAGAACTAAGGACTTTAAACTCACATCCTGGCTCTGCCATTCAACAGTTGTGACCTCAACTTGAAAATGAAGCGATTGGCTGTACTTACCCCATGGGGTGATTTTAGAGTTGAATGAGTTTATAAAGGTGAAGTACTTAGTGATTAGAACAGAGTGTGATATGTGTTAGCCATGAGCCACCCACCCAGCCACTTACATACTTATCCACTAGTTCGCTCACTGAAGCATCCATTCAACAGTTATGGAGTACCTCTAAGTGCCCTGTCTTTTAAAATAAATAAAACTACATTAAAATTATTCAGTAACTCACATTTTGCCAGTTTGGGCAGATCCTATTAATCACAACACACAAATAGATTAAGCTGCTCTGCACATGTTAGGTTTTACAATATTTTCTTATTCATTCAATGGCTATAATAAGTCAAGAGGCAAGGGCGTGACCTTTCAGGCAATTGGGCAGTCTTATATCTTCTGATGAGGGAGCTTAAGTGATGTGCATTTAATTCTAGGGTCACCAAGGACACCTGTTCCCATAGGTCAGAGAGAGGAGAAAACCCTCCCTTTTATTCTTTAGTGGATCTTTTTTGGGGATGATTTCCACATATCAGCTTTGATATTAGATACCAGTTGAGTGGTGGTTGACGGTAAGGAATGCAGTCTACTCTGAGGCCTTATTTAAAGGGTCAAGTGCCAACCTTCCTCCACGCCAGCACCCCAAGTCAAAGGTGGGTCTGTGGGGCTGGTGTGATGGGTCACAACTTGCAGCAACACGTGCCTGAACACCTGGCCCTGGGCAGTCCTGGCGTCAGGCCTCACAGAGGCCTTCATGCTTTCCTCACAAGTCCCCTCACGCCACTGCTCAAAATCTGCAGACCCAGTCAGTGACGCTCTTTAGCCCAACATGGGCGGGTCTGAAGTATCGAATACAAGGTGCCAATTTGGTTTGTCCTTCAGTGACAGTGTCAGAAATGGGGTGTCTAAAGGCATTCTGAAGGCAGGTGCTCTGGCTCTGACTAGTGAGTGGTCTGGAGAAGCTGGTGAAGCAGAGATTTCCACAAAACCAGAGGGAAGTGCCAGCAGGAACTTTATCCTTGCACATTCAGTAGCACTTTGAACAGCGAAGAACAAAGTCAACTAGTCTTGGATTCAAATTTCAGGCCAGCGGTGACCCTAGGCTAGTTCTGGCTGTGAGGCCTGTTTCCTAGGCTATAAAACAGGAATAATAAAAACCCCTGTGGAAGTTACAGAAATTGAGTGGTGGAGAGAACACAGGGGAATTTCCTGTTTAGTGCAGGCTGCGACCGTGGCCATGCGGGGTTGTGTCTGTCGAGCCCCACAAGAAGAAGGGACTGCTGTGTCTAAACAGGAGCATAGCGGAGCTGAGGCCAGGTACTGGCATCCGAAGGGCAGCACCCAAATGAATCCTGCAAGGCTGTCTCGGAGCGCTCAGTGTGCGATGGAAACAGATGAGGTATCTGCTGGGCTCTTGCGGAGAGGGGGCCCTCAGAAGGTTGCTGAGCTGTGCGCAGCCCCCAGGAAGCACCTTCACGAAAGACAGACTGTGGAAGGAGGCTGGCATCACCCATCCCCGCGTCACAGCCAGCAGCCCAGAACACAGCAAGCGTGGAGCGTGCGTGAGTCCAGGGTGTGGTGGGCAAGTGGGTTTTGGCAACAGGGAAACGCTGAGCTCAGCCTGTAATTTGCAATCCTGGAGCAGAGCGGCACGCAGTAAAATGCACAGCACACAAAATGGCCCTTCAGAAATACATCGCTAGGAACACACAGGCCGCCTCTTCAGAAGCCAGACTGACGCAGGAAAAGCCCCACTGCCTTTTGAAATTGCTCTAGATGTTTTCCTCTGGTTACAAACATGGAATCTGTGTCCATTGTGGAACATACGGAAAACACTTAAGTATTTAACTAGAAAATAACAGCAGCAGACACGACTCCGCTTTGTACAAATAAACTGTCATTATTTTGATGTAATTCTTGAGTCTTTTGATTTAGACATAAATATGGATGTGAAAGTCTATTTATATATTGCTATGTACTTGAGCACACGGTACACAGCACTGTGTTCTGATTTTCCCCATTTTCTTTATGTGTTTCTACATATCATAAAAACCTTTTGTGTAGATCCTTCATCCTCTGTATAAAGTACACTTTACTTACACATTCGCTTATATTTAAACACTGAGGTTGCTTTTATTTTCTGCTATTATAAAAACTGCTATGATAAATAGCTGCATACATTTCTGTATACATCTTTGCCCCAATTTCTAATTATTTCCTCAGTCAAAATCCTTTTAGATTCCTAGAAGGAGAATTTACCAGGCAAAGGGTATGAACATTTTTGAAACCTTTGATACATTTTGGTAAACTGACAAGCCCTCTTCACAATCCACATAATCTGCCCTTCCTAACAGAGGTCAAGGTGAATAAGTTTCAGGGTGTGAACAGACAGGGGAATAAGGGACAAGCCCCCAACACAACAGAGCCAAGCAGAGTAGACCCGCAGCCCCTAAAGTATATCTGGAAAGAGTTTGGGTGGAACTTCGTTGGTGGGAACCCATCTTAATGACTGCAGCCTGGACTGGTCTCACAGCAAATGGAGGCTCCCAACGGACCTCAGAGGATAGTGGGCTTTCCACAGGGGAGCCAAGAAGCGAAGGGGAGCACGGGACAGGCTAGGCAGGCCGGAGACAGAGACCCTGGAAGCATCTGCAGAAAGCGGAAGCATGAGGAGCAGGGCCTCTCTGCCTGGCAACCCTCCCACATCGGGGTGTCGGGCTCCCCGGCTCTCCTCGGCAGCTCCAGCATCCCCAGTGTGCTGTGTCCAGCCTTACTGCCTCGCGGATGCCCCTTGGCCACAAATGCCTCCAGATCAACTACAAAGCCTACATCTCCAGAGTCTCCTCCTCCAGGCAGCCTCCCTAAAGTGTCTGGCCTTACCACCCATCAGGGCCTCTCTGGCTCCGGGCAGGGGCTGCGGCCCACTGGCTCTGTTCTCAGTCAGGGCTCAGAGCCTGGCCCAGGACGTGCTCCGGCAGTGTGTGTGGATCCCTGTCAGGAGAGACTCCGGAGCCAGAAAGGAATTAGAAAGAGGCTGAGATGAATACTGGGCGCTGTGCACATGGTGGGGAAGAAGGGGTGCGGGAGGGTGGAGAGGAGCCGTGCAGCCAGTTGAGGGGACAGAGACCACGGAATGCAATAAGCCTTGTAGAAGCTGACTATGTAATGGACTCTATAATGCCTTCTTCCTTAGACTCTTACTCTTAACATACAGTTCCCATAACTGGCTATAAAGCATTCCCCATAAGTGGCTATTAAACGTCCAGACTTCCAGGTCCCATTCCCAGTCAGCAGGTCTGGGATGTAACCTGCCTCGCAGGCCATTCTGCAGTGAGTGGGCCTTGACGCAGCATAGCATGACTCTGGGACATCTTTGGGACCTGGTGGCATTTTCAAATCATTTTATAACAGTGCTTCTCAATTTGTGTGCTTCTCAGTTTGGAGAAATATATTGATATGTGTTAGAAGGATTAAACAGTGGAAAGAATGCAATTTCCTCTCTTTGCAGTCACAAGCCCATGGACATAGTCAAGGCCCTGAAAAGTGCCTTGAAATCATTTTAGGTTTGTATAACTACAGCATTCCTGAGCGCATATGATCTGGAGAGAGTGCCCCATGGGCCAAAGTTGGGAGGCCTCTAGAGGACACCTCAGCAGGCCGCCTGGACTCGTAGCTCAGTGGGGCTTGGGCTCCTGGCTCAGCCTTGTCACTTCCTGTCCTCTCATCATCGTGCTTGGGTCTGTTTGCATGAGGGTCTGTGCGTGAGAACCCCACTCACCACCCAAGGTCCACTGGAGAAAGAATTTTGAAATCACAGTGGACAAAGCTCCATCAAACCCCAGGAACTGACAACAGGGTTGATACCAGAGTTAGCAAGTTAAAAGGGGTGATCCAAATTGATTGAAGTTCCCTTAAAAAGAGTTGTCCTCCTGTAACAGGGTGGTCCCCAGGAAATGGGGAAGTTCCAGGTTCCCTGCCCCACCCAGAAGGAGGGTGGAGCTGAGGAGAGGAAAGGAGAAAAGAGAAGGAATCTGAGAAGAAGGTAACTGGGTGGAGAGGCAGGAGGACACCTGAGGAAGCCACACAGAGCAGCAAGCATGTGAGGAAGAAACCGTGCTTGTTCCCTGACCCTGGACTGGTTGAAAGAGATCTGGGTGAGAGACCTGTGGGGAGGTTGACTATGGCAGTGTTTATCTTGATTTTGATTTTGCTCTTTTCCTCCCAGACTTGTCTGGCCATTTCTGACCCTTTTCTATGGGTCCCGGACAGAAGGTGCCTTAGGGTACCTAAAGGCTTTTGGGCTTTGCTTTGGGCCAATCCCTTTTGGGTTGACTTTTGCCCACGAGGGGATGGGTAACTTCAGGTGTTTGATTTAGAAATTATATTCTTTGTCTTTCATATTGTATACTCACTGTATTAAAGTTCCTTTTCATTAAAGTCTTATATGTTTTGTCTTGATGCAGCGGATGGCAGAACCTATTTAGAGCAGGCAGGTTTGGGGGTTCAGTGGTACCCCTCTCTCCCTGCCCTGTAAAACTCCCAGGGGAGAAAATAATAATAATAATAAACAACTATATACTGGAGACATTTTATGTGGGTGGAGTGGGGAATGGGATCAAAAACAGTGGGGGGAGAGAAGTGCACTGGATTTTGGTGATGGCACATGGGTGATTTGGTGATGGGAAGCCCATGCGGATTACAACTGAGATGGAAAAAGGCACAAAATGATGTAAAAACAATTATATTATTTAAAAACAAACAAAAAAAAAAGGTGTCCTCTTCTGAGGAAATAATTTAATTACTGCTGTAAGCATTAGTCTCTCCATTAAAGGGTTATAAAGGCACATTTTGTTTTTAAGAAGACTAAGACTTTTAGAAGAACTCTTGCCTCCTTCCCCAGCTTGTCCCGGGATGGCCCCAACTATAATCCCTGTGACAAGCACAAGTCACAAGGGGAGGTAAACCCCTTTGGGCAGGAAATCCCAAAGGAGCTCACCATTTACAAGGGGAGGTTTGTTTCATTTGACCTTTCATCCTAGGAAGTGCCACCTAGCCAGGGGCCCTCGTAATCCTTATCTGTGCCCGAAGGGCAGCCAGTTCTCTTGCAACTCCCTGACCTCGCCCCTCCCCCAACTGGGTCAGCACCCACCTGTGGGGTCTGGAGAGTGAGTCCTTCCATGGTCTGGGCCTTCCTTCTGGGGCAGAGATCCGAGCAGCTGGTTGTGATGATGCCTGTGTTGCAAACATAGGGCTCAGGGTGTGTCCGCACATCCTATACTCCCCAAAGCCACCTAGATTTGGGGGGATCTCAGATTTTAAGTCTCTAAATGCCTCTGTCCATTTTAGGTAGCTGAGGGCATAGTACTTGCCATGTGCTGGGACAAAAAATAAATGCCATCAGCTCCCATTGAGTACATAAACCCAACCAGTTCTCTGCCTCTTGTGAACCCTGCAGAAAGTGGCAACATGAGCATATTTCTACTATTTTTCTTTCACTCTCACTTAAAAAAAAAATCTTGAGCAGGGAATTAGGACAGGACTCTTACAATCAGACAGCTCTCAGTTCAAAGTGCAGGAGTTTCATTTATAAAGTGGGGATAACAACATCTACTTTTGAGATCTCGTGGAGGCAAATGAGCTGCGTCGCAGCTAGGGCGTGCCAGCTCTATGCCTGGCTCCAGCAAAGTGCTCACTCTCACCACAAGCTAGGACTTGAGGAGGGCAGCGGGTGATGGCTGAGAGTGTGGCTTGGACTCTGACTGCTGGGGTGGAGTCCCAGCTCCCCACCCGCAAGCTGTGTGACCCGGTCTCTGGGACTGGCTCAGCACCTGAGGCGCTGACTCCCCCGGGGGGTTATGAAGATTAAAGGAAGGTGCACTGAGCAGTGTGCAGTCTGAGCAAATCTCATTACTTGTTAGCATTTCAAATATGATGAGACCTACACCAATTTGGCATGACTGCCTTTTTTAGCACTCTACCTTCTGCAAATCAAGAGATACCCATGCCTTCTTTTAACAAATCAAACACAGGCAATTATATTTCTTATATAAATTTGACCTTCTGTCTTCCACCCACTGTGCCATACACGTACCAGAGCTGTATTTGGAGGGAGCCCAGTGGAAAATTCTGTGCCCAGTGGAAAAGCATGGGCTGTGCAGCCAGAGCGGGCAGGTTCACGTTTGGGTTCTCCTGCTTATATGACCCTGGGTCACACTCTCAGTGTCTCACTTGCTTTGTGCGTCAACTGGTCCCCAAAGCTAATCCTTATCTGTATGTAGTACTATACACAAGACCAAGTACTATGTCCAAGACCTTATAGCCAAGTCCATGATCCGGCCACATGCCAGGGTTAATGTGGATGCTGATTTCTACTAGGAAAAGGTGCGGTTTAGAGGTGAAGTTCTAGAAGTAGAATACCTGGCCTGGAATTCTGGTTCCATCTAGTAGCTATGGAATTCTGGTAAGCAATCTACCTCTAGTTTCCTTATCTACACAACAGGGATAATGACAGTTGAGAGCTGTTGTGAGCACTAACTTCTAAATTTCTCCCTAATGCTCTCAGAGATTCAGCTGAGTGTTCTTTGGGCCTAACTGGACCCCAGGTTTCCACTGTCTTACTTAGTTTTGGTAACCTTAAGCATCTCTGAGGATTCACTCGAGGCTGGTCTGGAATCTTGCATCAGACTAGTGGATTTGGATTTGAGTTTTACCACTTTCTAACTGTAGGACTTTTAATGCGTTCCTGACCCTTCCAGAGCCTCCATTTCCTCGCCCTTGGAGTTGCTGAACTAGCCAGCTCATCCAAATGTAAAAGAGACATGGCAAGTGATCAATAAAAGGTGGTGATGATCACTTGAGTTTACTTACCCACTAGCTCCCAGGTCAAGTTGACCCTACTTTGTTGGTTAGCTGAATTTCTGTGCAAGTGATTACTTCCATTGCCAAATGCCTCATGCTCATGGAGCGCCACTCTGCCTTTGTGGGACAGCAGCTATTGCTTCTTCTGGCTGCCTGTGTGGTAGCCTGGTATGCCCAGCCCTGGGTGCGATGTGTGCCCATGGGAACACATTCTTGGTGTCCTCAGTAGTATCAGAGGGTCTTTGTGGCAGGAGCAAAGTCAGCCACACTGCATTTCTATTTTCAGATCATGGGCTGGGAACATGGCCGTAAGCAAGGCGTCCATGTGGGGCAGATTGAGGCTCCAACACCGGCTTATTGTGTGTCTGTGATTAAGTTAGCCTCTGTGAGCCTCATTTTCTTCATCTGTAGAATGAGGGCAACATAAGATCATATTTACAAAGGGGTACATGAGATGATGAGTATGATGACAATGATGACAGGCCACTTCACATGGCATTGTGACCAATGCCCTAAAATATGGAGAAAAGGTGCATGAAATAAATTATCAAGTACCCTAAAATCATGAAAGCCAACCCATAGATTTTTAAAAGTTAGATTCAAAATAAACAATCTAATAAGGAGAAAAATTTGCAATCAAACCACTGTGAATTTATAGTGACTCTGTCACTGTCATTATGACAATAAATTCACTGTGGATGCTATAAAAAATTACTAAATGGAGCAAAGGCAGAAAGAGGCTGGCTTTCCATCATTCTTCTAGAACTACCCAATGTTACATTTTTAAACAGATTTTCAATAATAAAAAAATTCTGGTAATTTTAGGAAACATTAGAAATCAAACACATTTTCTAATGCAATGAATGCACTTTGAAGATAAAGCTCACTTCAAATATTAAAATATATATATGTATATATATATAATCAGCCATTTCCTAAAAGTGTGTTGACTGTGTGAGTGGCTTCTTAACCTTGGCTGCACAAAATAAATCATTTTGGGGCCTTTTCAAAAGTACATATGCTTGAACCCTACCCCAGACAAATTATAATCTTTGTGGGGAGAGGATGTGTATGTATAAACATTTTCAAAAATCTTCCAGGTCATTCCTAGAGCAGAGCTGAGGCTACTGGTTTGAATGCATCTTGGTATTTATCAGACATTTGATTCAAATTCTCGGCAACTGAGGCCGTGTCCTCCCTCAGTCCTACTCACACTTTGGATCACTAGGGAGCTCTCGGACATCCCGAGGTCCCACCCCAGACCCAGTCTCTGGGGAAGCCTACATGGACAAGCTCAAATCCCAAGGTGATTCCATGTGCAGTCAGAGCTGAAGATCACTGGACTGGAGGATTAAAGGATACAGTAAAAAAAGAATGTGTTCAGGTCACACCTGATTTTGCAGCAGTGGCATTAGAAAGATTATATAGTACTGTGGTCAATTCCTATTTGCCCATGAATGGCTTATGTGTTTTGAGGATAAGTTATGGGCCAGTGTTAGGGATGCAAGGAAGGGAGCTAACAGTATTAAGCACCTTCCATAAACCAGGTGTTTTGCCTACATCATCTCGTTTAATTCACACAGTATCCCAGTGAAGTTGGTGTCATCCTCTTTTTATTAGGTGAGGAATTGAGGCTCAGAGAGGCTAAATCACTTATCTCAAGTCACTTAGCTAGTAAATTTGACTCCCAGATCTGGGCCCTCCGCCATGCTACCTCTCACAGTGGAAGGTGGCAGTGCCTGTGTTTCTGACTACATATTACAGCTAACTGACTTGTTAGATTACCCGTTGTTTTGTCTTGTTCTCCCCCATTAGCCTAGCTAAATGAGAGCCGACGCTATTGCTTATTCTGAGAGGCTGATGTAGGTGTAAATTTATTCCTTATGTTTAAAAAAAGAGAGGGTGCCCATGTACCCTAACAATTAGTTCACATTTTCCCTCCTTTTACTGTGGTCACAGGTTCTGAGTAGCACTGTCACTGTTGAATGCTTCTAGAGGATTCTTTCCCAGCAAAAGGTAAGTCATAAGAATCAGGATATGGAAACTAAATGTTTACCTTTAGTAAAAGGGTAAACATTTTTCTCCCAAGTGACTTTGAATATAAGTAAAAAATGAAAACCAAACAGATTATGCACAGGCCTGCCAAGCATTCGACCTTGTCTCTTCGTGCCTCCAAATAAATAAAAGACAAGGCCCACAATCTGCAAGTCCTTTCGGCTGTTGCTCTACTAGCCAGGAAGGTGGAACTTCCTGCTTTTCTAGCAGACGCTGCTGATGTTTCCCAGATCAAGTTAGTGGCTGTTGTCCTAACATGTGACACTTACAGGGCTTTTACAGGGCAAATTAATTCTGCTGAATACTAACAGCAGTTCTAAAAGGAAAAAAAAGAAAAGCTGGAGTTAACCATTTCTAAGATTTGAGGGTATTTCCCCTCTATTTAAATGAAAACCTAGATTTATAGAATCCAAGATTTGTATAATTAGAAAAGACATAGATACAAAATGGGGTTTCAACCCAGTCAGTGATGCAATAGTAAAAGGTTTCATTTACTAAACATTCTTATGTTGTTCGCAGACAGGAAAGTTGCTTTTATTTATTAAAATCCTTATTAGGTTTTAGAGTCTACATTTTGCCAGTGGGAAATGTGTCTCAGAGAGGTCAAGCCACATGCCCAAAGTCTCAGAGCTGTGTAGGGCACGCTGAAGCCCAGCACCACCGCCCTCTGCAAGAAACCTGCGTGTTTCTGTCAACAACACCCTCAAGTACACGGCGCCACATACATGGTGGTCAGTGAGTTTTCCCTCAGGATTTCTCTGAGAAAGAGCCGGCTGGTCCCTCTTGCTCTCTCTGTCTCTCTCTCTCCCCCTGGAGCAATACTGCTCCGATTTAGCCTGAGAAGGCCTGGCCACAGCCTGCAGAGCCCCACTCGACACTGTTTCTCCCATTTACCTTGTACTCTGCACACCCTTGCCAGGGTCCCTTTGCCAGCAAGAACATGCCCTTACCTCAGCACCTTCACTGTCTCCGTCCACTGTGCCTGCTCACTCTCCCAGGGGTCCACCCGGATCCAGTCTGATGTCTGCAGAGCCAGCTGGGCCATGGCCACTCGGTGGTGGGCAGCTGCGAGGTCCTTCTTCCCATACTTGTCATTGACAGGTGAGATGATACCCCCCATCACCTGGTACATTCCTAGGTAAGGGAGAGCAGTGACAGTGTGAATATGGAGATGTACCGCCTGGCAGCCTGGATCCAGGCAGGTGCTAAGAATTGCTGTTTTGTCCTGAGGGGGAGCAGACCCTGGCATTCTGTGCCCCCTGAGCCAGCCCCCTCAGGCAAGGGCAGAGGCAGAACCACGTGCTTCTCCTCCATGTCCTCGACAGCCCAGACCAGTGTTTCCACTTGGAAGAGGCTGGGCGGCTGGGGTCAGGCAAGGCACCCACACAGCACTGTGGCAGCAGGGTTGGAATATGCTTGAGGAAAATTGTGACTTCCCTGAGTGGGGCATGATCAGGGCACTGTCACCTTCTCATAATGTGTGGGACAGTTGTCATACAGTTTCTTAGTCCACTAAGGGGATTTTTAAGATCATAGATGAAGGGCTGGGGTGTGGCATGCGCCAGGGATGTGGATAATGGGAAACAGAAGGGCTGCACAGGCCCAGCATGGACTTCGGAGGAACGTGCTGTCAGGGAACGGGAGGGGCTACTTTGAAAAACATGTGGATGGTGCTGGTGAGAATGCAGGGGCTGGACAAAGGGGTCTTTGGGTTTAGCGCTACAGTGTCAGGTGAAGTGACAGAGAACCATCATGAACAGACATGAATGAAACTCAAGGAGTCTCAGGGAAGCAAACACTGTAAGGAAATTAACAAGCTATTTGAAAAAATAAAACACTTGGCCATTTGAACTCTAGTTTTCCTACCTGCAAAATGGCATAGTACCTGCCTTGACAGCACATTCAACCAGCAGTCTGTGGGTTTCCTTTGCTCTATACACTGCTACGTGGGTTATTGCCAGGATTTTCCCAGTCTATAGCGGTATTTTATTGTGGTTCTCATGCTTCTGCTTACTAACGAGGCTCAGCATTTTTGTTCATGTATATTTGACATTCAAACTCGATGTCTGGCAACATTCAGTTTGATGCCTGTTCAAGTCTTTTGCCCAGTTTTTGAGTTGTCTGCCTTTTTCATCACTGATTGGTAGAGTTCTTCCTGTATTTCAAATACTAGCCCTTGTTTGGTTGATGATATATATTTATGGCTTGTCTTATAGCACTTCTTATGAAATCTTTTAAAAACAAAAGTTTTGATGTAGTTGGGCTAATGTTTTCTTTATGGTCAGTGCATTTGTGTTATGAAGACTTTTTCCTATATTTGCTCATTAAAACCCTGTCATTTTATTTTCTCCTACCTGGGTTTTTGTGTATGATGTGAGTTCTATTATTTTCCATTTGGGTAGTCAATTATCCAGGAATAATTATCAAAAAGACCCTCCTTGGATGGAGCTGGAAAAGATCATGCTTAGTGAGATAAGCCAGAAAGAGAAAGAAAAATACCGGATGGTTTCACTCATAGCAGGAGTATAATGGACCAGGTAGAAAATAACAAAAATAATGAACAACCATATACCAGAGACATTTTGTGGGGGTGGAGTGGGGAATGGGATCAAAAACGGGGTTGGGGGATGGAAATGCACAGGATTATGGTGATGGCACATGGGTGACTTGGTGATGGGAAACTCGCGGGGATTACAATTGAGATGGAAAAAAATGTACAAAATGATGTAAAAATAAACTTTTGTAATAAAAAAAAAGAGCCCTCCACCTACTGCCACACATCACCACATGATAGACATCAAATATCCATCTGTGCACAGGTCTGTTCTTATACTTGCCATTCTGCACTGTGGCTCTATTTGCCTTGTCTGTGCCCAATGTTATAATGCTTTGATGAATACAGCTTTGTATAACCATCTCACTATATGGGTAAGCAAATCCTCCTGTCTCATTTTTCTCCAGGGGTCATTCGTGACTCACTGCATTTTCCATATTAATTTTATAGAGACTTTGTCAAGTTCTATGAAAAAGAAAACACCATTCCCCAACCCCTTACTCTTATTATTTGACAGGAATCAAATTGAGTCTATAATTCAATTTACAGAGGACTGACATCTGATATCTTTACAAATGCAAACTTAGTGTTGCATTTAAAAGTTATTGTCAAGCTTGACAGGAATCCTCCCTCTCTGCCCCCTCCAATCTATGAGCATGGTATAACTTTCCATTTAGTTAGGTCTTTCTTCTCTGTTTTTACAGTTTTTCTTGTAGAGAACTTACACATCTTATTTAAATTTTTTTTTACTTCACTAAGATGACATTTTCAAGCTTCTTATTTTGTTTGTTGCTGAAGTACAAATATAAAACTGATTTAAATGTCGAGTGTGTTATGTAACAACCATGTTAAACTCTCTTAGCAATTCTAATAGTTAATCTGCAGACTACCATCTGAAAATGCTGACAACTTGCTTCTTCATTTCCAATCCTTATACCTTCATTTTTCATGTTGCATCGTTGGAGACCTCTACTATAATTCCGAATAGAGACGGTGTTAGCAGGTGTCCTTGTCTTACTCTCATTTTCAAAAGGAGAGCTTTCAAGTTTCATTATTGCACAGAATATTTGCTGCAAGTTTCCTCACATAGCCTTTTTCAGCTGTGGTAGAAACAATGTCACACATTCATTAAGACCCACTTTTATGTTATTCCTTCCTGGGTGCACTGAAAGGTAATATTTTTGTTCTTCTTGAAATTAGGTTGGGTTTATGTGATCTAGTTCTAGTAAATAGTGAAGTGATGTCTGTCCCAACTAGACTTGGTCATAAAAACTCTTGCATGACCCTCCAGCTTCTCTTGTAGTATATCTGAAAGCTACACAGTGAACATAGCAAAGTCATAAATTGGACTGACTAGGATTCCTGAGATGCAGCATGAAAGGGAAATGACCTGTAGATCTTCTGAACCTGCAAGAGATTTATTTGATGAAAGATAACATCATTTAATGTGTTAAGCTACTGAAATTGGAGGCTTTGTTTATTGCAGCCTAGCCTGGTCTATCCTCACTAACAAGCTACCTAAAAAGACAATCCCTGTTATTCCTACTTTAAGAGCTTCTCTCATCAATGAATTTTATCAAATGTTTTTTCTTTGAGTGTTAAAGTGACGGTATGATTTTTCTCATTTAGTAAGTTAAAATAGTGAACTGCATTGACTTTTCTATCTTTAAAATTGCACTCCTGAGATAAACTTAATTTGGTCAAGATCTGTTATCTTTTTTAATGTATTGATGGATTCACCTTGCTTATTTTTTACATAATATGAGAGGCATGTAATTTTCTGAGTGCTGTAATCAGGTTTGGTATCAAGGTTACATTAGCCTTATGAAAAGTGTTAAGGAGTTCCCTTTTTTCCTTTTTCTTTTTGCACAGAACTGGGGTGTAGGCCAGAGGTGTGGGGGGTGAGAGGATTCATTAGAGACAGCATAGGGAGCAGAACAGATGGATTTACTGAAATAGACTGCTAAGGGGGGGCCGTGGGGGAGACCGGAGAGATCTGCTGTGCCATATGTGGGTCAGCTCCCTGGCCAAACTGGCCATAGTGGTGACAGTGCTGAGACTTAAGCTGTAGAACACCACGGAGATCCTAGTTCCCTCTTTTTCTATGCATCAAAAGAGTTTGTGTAGGATTGAAACTTATATTTTCTTTAGTGTTTGACAGTACTCACCAGTGAAGTAGTATAGGCTGGAGTTTAATTTGTGTAAAGCTTTTTGATGACTTTTTTGCTTTCATAGTTATAAAATGATTCATATTTTTATTTCTTCATTATAATTTTGGCAACTTGTATTTTTCTAGGATTTTGTACATTATATCTATATTTTGAAATTTATGGCCATAAGGTTGTCCACAATATATTCTCATCTGCTTTGTGTCAACACCATCTGTAGTGATTACCTTTATATTTGGAATGTTGGTTGTGTATCCTTTCTTTTTCCTTGCTCAATCTTGCTAGAGATTTGCCACTTTATTAGTCTTTCCAAAGAACCAACCTTTGGTTCTATTGATCTTTCCTACTAAGTGTTTTCATTTCATCAATTTCCGTTCTTAATTTATTTTATCCTCTCAATTTTTGGTGCCATTTTACTATTAGTTCTCTAGTTTTTTCACTCTTTATTCTCTATTTACTATTTGTTTACTATTTATCCTTGTGGTAGGTGCTAAGCTAACTAATTTGCAGTTTTCTTACTGTCTAACATACACAGTTTGTCTTATTTTCCAATATAACTAACTTACCATTTATCTTATATTCAAATATACATGGTTCTGTTTATAAAAATGCACAAATCATGTCTTTACTTGTATCCCACAAATCTTGAGATTTAGTGTTTTCATGGTCAGTCAAAGCATTTTCTAATTTCCATTATTATGTCTTTTTAAATCCATGAATAATTCTTTTTTTTTTTTTTTTAAAGATTTATTTATTTGTTCACACAGAACTGGGGTACTGGCCAGAGGCTCAGGGGCGGTGAGAGGCCTCACCAGAGACAGAGCGGGGAGCAGAACAGGCAGATCCATGAAGTACACTGTTGAGGGGAGCAGCGGGCAGGTCAGGAGAGGTCTGCCACACCATGTGGCCACCTACCGGGCAGGCGGGAATTGAACTCATGTGGAAGTGGCCTCAGACTCTCAGCGCTGTGCTTCAACCCGCTGCGCCACCAGGGAGGGCCTAAATCCATGAATTATTTTCTTAATTATAAAACACATTGAGATTGGTTATCTTTTTATCACTGACTTCTAGCTCAACTGCACTATATAGTCTGAGGACATATTCAGTATTGATTTTAATCACTTGTAATGTGCTGACATTGGCTTAACATCCTGTATATGGTCAGTTTTACTAACTGTCCCATGTTTGCTTAAAAAGAATGTGTATTCTGTGGTTGGATGCGGAATTCTATCCGTGTAGTCAAGATTGCTGTCTGGTATTATTAGTGATGTTTTTGTCTGTTGTATTAGTTACTAAGAGGAGGATGTTAAAATCTTCCTTTGTTGATTGTAGATTTTTTCTTTTAAGTTCTTTTAAGTCTTCTGTGAAATAGCTTCTTTATCTCTAGAATTGTTTTTTGACTTTTAATCTAT